TGATGAACTTTTTTTCTTCTAATTTTGCTAACGCTAATTTTACAGGATTTATATTTTTTATTTTTATTTTATGATAGTTTAGGTTTTTTTTTTTTGATAAATTTTTCTGCCAGCTCTTACTTTATATGTACCATATATGTAGATGCTATTACTGATTTGTTTTTTTTTTTGTTTTTGTTTTTGAATTTTTTGTTAATTCAATGGTTTATTGCACACTAAGATGTTACGTTATATATCTAATTTTTGATTACAATTTGAATTTTATAAATTTTTTCTTAATTGCTTAATCAGTTCAGTTATGATTATAAATGATGTATAATGAATTTTTTTAAATTAATCTCCTTGGCTATTTATGCCTTGACACATAAGTGAGGCTCTAGCGAAGAAGAAGTTGACATTTTAGAGAAAAAATGCGTAAACATAATGGTGAAAATGTCGCGCCTTATCAAAATTTTATTGCTTGCGGGCTCAAATGGTTTGCTTTCTAAGTGGTTTGTTTTAAATGGGAAATATTATATAAAATGCGAATATCTTTAATAAATACTTTCTTTTTGACTCACTTGAACATTACAACTCTAATTTTCTACCACTTAGCTTTCACAAGTTAAAATTCGTCTTCTTAAACGTTTCTTATTTTAAAATGATTAATTTACTTTCTTGCTCGACAGTCTACCAATTCTTACGTAGAAACACGCTTATATGCCGTTAAATTTTTTTTTACCATTTTTTCTTAAACTTTTACCTTACAAATTTCGGTTATTGCCAACAACACTTAACCTACATCGCACTACAAAAATAAACCACTGCTTAATAGGAAAAAGAGTTTACTATATATTTATCTAAAAAAGTTTTCCAAACACACCATCAATGATCATCAAGACCATCACATTCAAATTCCTTCTTTTTCTAAACAAAAAAATATTTTATAAAATTATTTACACTTATTTTATTTATTTAATAAAAAGTAAGAGCCAAAAGTGTAGAATAAAAGACAAAAAAAAAATATATATTGAAACATAGTTCACATACAGATCTCTAAAGTATTTGGCATTGCAGTAATTGAAAAAGTTTAATTATGTATACAGTCATAATTTAGTTAGACATTTTAATACATGTTTTATTTTGTTATAAAACGAAATGAATGTCCAACAACGCAGACATATCACACTTTCTTCAATATCACCTCAGCATGCTTGCTCCAGCTCCTTCTTAGATGCTTTTTGAATACAACGCGATGGGCAAAATCATGTACATAATTACTTGGAACCGCTCTTTCAAAATATTATGAATAAATTACAATATTTATTTTGTTGGATTAAGTGTGGTTAACTTAATATGTTTGTATTTGATTTTGGAAATTTTTTGTTGGTAATATGCAATGTATTTGCAGAGAATGTAAATGAGTAGAGAAGGAGCAAATGTTAAATGAAAACTTTTTGAGTACTAATTTGTAATTCCACATGAAGGAACATCGAAAAATATAACTTCGAAAAAGAAAAATACACCACACAATATGCGAAATGCTATAAATAGACACAACGAATATTCCTATATGAAAAATCGTTGCGCATACCTATTTAGATTTATGTTTTCAATTTCTATGATATGACAAATTTATAATTATGAAAAGCCTTCTGAATTAAAAATCTGTATTACCGGTAAAAACCCCAGAATTCATAATAAAATAAACATTTAATAAGCTAGTTTTCTAACTTATGTATGTGCGTTGCGTAAGCAATATACTTATTAAACAAATGATAATAATAAAACGGTGGCTAAGCGGCCACGTTTCCACTTTTGTGGTGGCTTAGGTCGTAAGCGCGAAGGAGTTAAGCTCATTCCGAATACGAGCATATACGTTCGAATCGTAAAATACATAAAATTAAAATTGTATTTAATTTTTTTATTTTATTAATTGGAATCTAAGCATATCATAATTCAATTACTTTAATAGCATTTTTTACTTCCTGATATAATTAAAATATATCAGGAGAATATGTTCATATGTTTGGGTTTATTGCATATTCCTTTATTTATGCGTATTTACACAAATGTGATAATCACACATACATTCATGAGTACACGTACGCTGATGCTTGCTTCTTCTTGCCCCGCACAAGCAATGACTTTTGTCCACACTTTTTGCTTTTTGCGAGTTGAACGATCGCAGGCAAGGAGGGATTGGGGCGCACTGCCACATAATTATTTCAGATAAATATTTTATTTATCGAATTTAGTTTAAAAACGATTATAGGTATGCGTTTATGTGTATTTATATATATATATAATATATATTATAGTACGAAAATAATTCATAAATGCATCAGTATTTTTCAATACAAATTAAGCAACATAATAATATACTAAGAGTCCTCAGTTAGAACGCCTCTGTGTATAGTGGCAAGCCAACGAAATAACGGCGAGTTCGCGCAGACATTGTGTTGTTGAAAGTAACCAAATGACGACAAACATACATATATACATATGAGCTCGCATAGATATTGACGCCGAATTTTGCGCATCGTGGCGGAGTTGACAAAATTTGTTTCAATCGACAATTTTACGACAATGTCGATCGGCTATGTTGTCTCGTTTGTCCTTTTTGCAGGGCTTTCCTGTTGAAAATTGACTTATGCTCTTTTGAAATATTGCGATTACCGATTGGGCTGCATTTTCATAGCGTCGTATTTGGATAAATGGGCTAAATCGACAAACTATGAAATAATGATAATAAATAAACATATAAAAGTACTATATGGACTGTGCTTAGAATATATAGAAGTAGTTAATGATTTCATATGAATGGCAATTTAATATAAATTTTGTAATTTAATGCCATAAATAGTGCATAATATGCAAAAATATAAATATTATTTAAATTCGCTAAGAGGTCATGTTGCCAATTCTCCTTTTTGAAGTGAACATCAGACAAATTCTTCAATTTCTGATTTTTAGCAAATGTTGTGAGGAAGCAGCTTGTGGGCAACATACAAACGCGAGGGGGATGGTAGGATTTTCAGTGATACAAATTGTAAAATTGAAATTTTGCTGATTCTTCAATTTTACTGAAGACATTCAAATTCAATTTCATTCATTTTTATTTTCGCGCATTTGCGGTAGGAATTCTATATGAAAACCAAATGTGGTTTACCAGGCGCACAGAAAAAATAGCGCGGCGCAGAGTTATGAACGAACGCACTTTGCTTTGAAGCAGCGCACGTTCCTTATGAATGAATTTGTTGTCGTTGTAATATGAAATACTTAGAAAATATGCCGCGAGTTCGCTTGAATATTATTGGCCGATGATGGTGCGTCTACGTTTTTTTGTCACTTGCGCGAATGTTTGATTTTTTGCGAAAGACATATTGAGGTACATATATATGTACATATGTGTACATATATGCAAATATATATGGACATGCGAATGAAGGAAGGCAATTTCAAGAATATTCACATATAGACATATAAACATTGAAGCAAGTAAACAACAATAGCTGTTTGAGTTCACAGATTAGACAAATATGTTCTAATATGATCTGTGGTGCTGCTTGTATAGCACACTTCCTTATTGCAATGAAATGTTTTGCCTAAGTTCAAATCCTATCATATTTTTATATATTATACTATTTTTTATTTTTATAACCCTTTTTTATGAAATGATATTTGAATTCTATTTTAATATTATTTCCCTGATTATTAATATTTTCCTGTCAGAAGTCAATTTCTTTCGTTTTTATTATTTAAAGTTTTGTTTATGCGCATACCAATGAACATCTGTGCATATGTATGTATATACATTTTGCTTATAGAGTGGTGTAGTTCGTTTCGTACCCTGATAGTTGTGGTGAAATTTTATTTTCCAATTTGCGCGTTTTCGATGTTCCTTCTTAGCAATTAACATTTTAGTACTGCTAACATTTGCTCCTTCTCTACTCATTTACATTCTCTGGTATTTGGCTGTTATAAATGACAATTTTGTTTAATTTTGTGCATACTTTTGGGCGTATTCCAAAGCGTATATTTTATGGAAACCAGATAGTGAATTTAAATGAATTAGTAAACACGAGTTTAATCACAGCACAAATACGTCTCCCTAGAATATACCGACAGCCTAGAAGTATGCTTTCTTGTGTTGAATCTAAATCAGCAAGTTAGTAATTCCTTGCAATAAAATAACCTTTGCACGATTATTTCGACATTTTATTCTAATGCTTGATAATTGCAATTGCTCGCAGACAATCTGAGCCAGAAATTTTTTCTGAATAACAGTGCTTTCTATAATGAAAAATTTAAATAAGTATGAGCAAGAAATTTATATATAATTTATATATAGTCCGTATAATTTCCATAAGTTATCCCTATGAATTTGTGTCTCTTGATGTTTGGAGAAATTGCTGGTATGCGGAGAAATTGTTAAATGTGAATTGAAACTTTCGGGTAATGAAATCTTCAGGTATTTTTCTCAAACGCAGTTTGTTCGAAGTAGCAAGCACATAAATTTTCTGCGCTGTAAAGTATGCTACTATAAATAAAATTCACTCAAATGCTAAATGAATTGTGCAATAAATTTTTGTTGGCAATATGGTGAAGTTTTTTCGGACAAATCTACCATTAGTGTTCTAAAAAGGTTAACAACCAAAATTATTGATATTTATGAATATATTTGACTACTAAAGGGAAATTTACGCAGAAAACTTCTTTCATTATCATATTAAAATTAATAGCTCAATGTTTTTTGAATAACTGCGGCATTTTTGAATATTTCAATCTTATTTGTGGTGTGCTTGGTCGCTATTTTCCTTAGTGCGTTTTACACCGGAAATCGAATAAATACTTTTGGCCAAAAGGCTTTTAAGGAGCTGGTTACATAAATCGGCGAGTTACACTCGTTGGTAATATGCATATGTTTAATTTTTAAATTCCAGATTTGTGCCTTCAATCCGTTTATATTAAGCATATGTTTTCAACTATTTGCTGTTTGTATTTTTTAATAATGTTGGTTCTTTTTGATTTGTAGTGTTTTATTGAAAATATAATATTTTCTAAAATATTATTTCAAGCTATTTATGCGCTATTCTTATAAATATTCCAACTTTTTGCCATACAAAAAAACTTTATGGAATAACAAAAGAGGAGTGGAAAGAAAATTAATGCACCGTAAGCAAGCATGCATCTTAATATATATACATAGATATATTACAATTATTTAATTACTTGTAAATTACATGATCCGTATGCGTAAAAATTCTACGATAATGAAAAATATATTTATATCAATTCAAGACGCTAAATAATATCAAGTTCAATATATGGTATAAAAAACACACACACATTTAACGGATGATTCCAAATAAACTGAAATCAGCGTGAAATGCTTATGGAACTGTCTTTGTGACTGTCTACTTATAAATACATAACATAGATATACTTAATATAATTACACAGTACAACTACATATACATATGTATGCTACGATCGCTTAGCGTATGAGATGCAGCTTCCAACGCAGCACGAAGTACGCGATAATACGCAGCGCTACAAAGGTGCCGAGCAGTGCCACCGCATCTATCCAGTACTCGGCATTGTCCATCGACATCTCCTCTAAGAACTTCTTGGGACTGCGAAAATGACAGTACATTTCATGGCACTCCAATTTGGCGCGATCCATGCCATATATCGACACCATGGCGCCTGATTTGTATAAAAAGAGTGTATCGTTAGCATTATTCATAACACAAGTGGCACTAAAGTGGACTCACCTTCAAAACCATAGCGCACATAGCTAACATAGGTCACCCATTGCAGGTAGCCCGGTATGGTGTCGAAGTTAACGAAGAAGCCAGAGAATAGTATGGTTGGTATTGTTGTGACGGGACCGAGAAAGACACCCGCTTCAATATTCATGCCAGCACCAATGAGCAAGCCGAGCGACTGCGCCACCAACGATGTGAGCACGCAAATAAAGACGAACATCGAGATGCGCATCCACTCCATGGGTTGGGAGGTCAAATAGTAGACGACAATCACATAGACGCTAGAGAAGACGATCTGTGGAGACGGAATAGAATATTGTGAAAGGTTTGCAAAAAATTTCGACATTCAAAGACTTGATGCGCTTGAAAGATCGTTACATACCTGAAAGGGTAGATCTGCCATTGTCTTAGCAAAGTAGAATGCCTTCAGCGAGTACCAATAGTTCAAATGCTCACGCACAAACACCGACATTTCAGTAGGAACTGCGGATAACCGTATTTTAAGCTTAATTACAGTTATGATTGATGCGATTCTCGCAACTTTATGGTACTTACATGTCAATATCGTCGGCATCATCGCCGTAAACATGGTGAAGAGCGTGGTGAAAAAAATACAACCCGCATTGCTCATCACCTTCGAAGCTTCATTGCCCACATCGTAGTAGATCATGCCAATAATGGCGCCGACAATGACGTGCGAGGCTAAACGCATATGTGTCAGCATACGATCGCGCATAATGGTCACAAACGAGCGCTTTAGCAGAATCCAGAACTGCGTCCAGCCGCTGGTAGGGAAGCCCGAGCTGTTGGGCAGCGTAACAACACTTTCGTGTGAATCCAAAAGCGAGGTGGTGCAACCAGCGGCGGCTGCTTTCTCAGCAGCGCCGGTGAGCGCAACTTGTCCGCCCTTTGAACTGAAGCTGCAGCTGTAAGGCAGAGCGCTATTGGAGTTGCCATTGTCATTGTTGCTGTTTGGAATGTTCAAGTTGATAACTGTGCAGTCGGATAGTTGTGATTGTTGCGTCTCCAAGATGGGATTATTGAGTGCATTCGCATGTGATTTAGATATTAAAGTGGTGGACAGTTCATCCATTTTACACTTTTCATCTTCCAGTGTTAGGGTTGCGGTTGCCGTTAGTGTTGGATTGTTCGAACTTGTGCTGTTGGAGTTGTTGCAGTCACCTTTGACAATGTCATTAGCAATGCCGCGCACAGCCGTTAAGCCGTAGTCCTTATGACTGAATTTCTTGCACTCGCCGCTTTTGACCGCCGCCACCAGCTTTTGCACAGATTCGCCATACTCGCCGCTGGCTACCTCCAGCACATAATCGGCTGGATTGTGATATGAAGGGCAGTTGTAGCCGAGCGACGAGAGGAATGGCACCAGACCGCGTACGCGTCCTTCGTACATGCACTGGCCCTCGGCGAGCATGTACAAGTGATCGAACTTTTCAAAAAGACGCGCCGACGGCTGGTGAATGGTGCAAACGATAGTGCGACCGCCACGTGCCAACGACTTGAGCAAAGAAATTAGCTGGAAACACGTTGAACTATCCAAACCGGATGTGGGTTCGTCAAAGAACATCACTGGTGGATTATTAACTAACTCGAGTGCGATCGAGAGACGCTTACGTTGTCCGCCCGAAAGATTGCAGGTCTTCGTATTGCTGGAATCCTTCAAACCGATCGTTTCGAGTATCTCGTGAACAACAACTCGTTTGGCTGCTAAATTCATATCTTTGCCCAACTTGAGATTGGCCGAGATCATCATGGCTTCATGCACTGAGAGATTTGCGATGAGTATATCATCTTGCATTATGTAGCAGGAAAGTTTACGAAAACGACGCAGGTTACGCTCTTTGCCATTGATCATCACCGAACCGCTCAGCTGTGATGTTCTGAAATGAAAAGCGAGTGGTATTAATGTTAATGAGATTAACTCAATCAAAAGTGGTCAAAAAGCTTTCTAATATTCTATTTTCTTCTATCACTTTCTATGCGGACCCTTTCCTTTAAGTCCAGATTTTGTGTAAAACTGTTCGACTTCAATGATTGAAAACATTCAAATTTATCAAAAGGCCACCACAAAGAACTAAGTGTTGTTGAATAAACGAAACAATGTGTAACGGTAAATAATAGAACTAACACGGGCACAAATGCCTATTTGTGAAAAGTCTGTTTATGTCAAGCTGAATCGGAGCATTTATTGTTAAGACGTTGAACTGGTAAATAGCCAGCAGCGAGTCGTCAATAAATCACTTAACACAAAAACGAAAATGTCAGCAAAGAATTTGAATGGCCCTATCTCCCTTCGTCTCAGAAGGAAGCTAATATTGCATCAAATGCTCCTAAACTGTCGACAAACATACACACGTCGAATATTAATAAACATACAGACACCACAAGGCAAAGGCAACAAATCAGAAAACATTCGAAAAATGTGAAATGCGAAACAACAAAAAAAGGAAGGAGTCCTAAATAGCGTCATATAATAATATGAGCTGTGTCGTAAAGGATGTGTTGACAACACGGAATCGCTTGTTTTTCAGTTGAGAAAGGAAGCATATATAACTCTTCAGTGTGTGCGAAAATAGAACAAGGAAGGAAGCCATAAAGGAAAATTAATACTTGGCACACTGAACACTTTTCCTTCACAGCTCTAGTTTGTGGATATAGACATACTTAAGTGTATAGTGCTCATAACGACTTGCGACTTATTGGATTAGGCAAACTTTAGCAGCCTTATGTATCCTAATGTAACCGCAAGAACATAATTATCGCTTTCATTTCGTTTATAAGATTCTCTTGCATTCCTTTCAATAACTTCTTCACTAATTTACTCGCTTTTTTATTCTTCATTTATTTGCTTCTAGCAAATGCCTTCGTTAAGTGCTGTTGTACTTACTTGTAGCCGGCCAGAATGTTCATAAGTGTACTCTTCCCCGCACCGGACGGTCCCATGATGGCGGTGAGTTCGCCATTACGAAACTTGCCTGAAACACTTTTCAGTATGGTCTTTAAGCCGCGCCTTCGTCCTTCTGAGACTGAATATGAAATATCAGCAAACTCGATGTCGACTGGCGGCCGCTGTGGCAGGTGTGACAGTGTGACGGTGCCTTTCTTTTGGCCATTTGGACTGCAGCTATTTTGTATCTTTGGTGCGAGTATGTGATTTTGACTGGGAATACCGCCATTACACAGATTATTTTGCGAGCTGCAATGGAAGAGAGAAAAACTACAATTTAAAAATTCTTTATGGTTAATTGTTTATATTAAGGATTTAAATAAAGTAGTAGGATGATAAATCGAGATCTCAGACGACTTTGCAATACATTGGTTTCGCTAATATTTAGCCTAGGAAACGATTGTCAAAATCCAAGAAAATCCGTCCTTATTTTATGAAAGTCAAAAGTTTCAAGTAAAATTGGTCGGAAAAATCCGTCCGTCGAAAAGCGTGATTTAAAGACGTCAACTGTTCAACCAGGTCTTTGAGATATTTTGGATATACACAGTAATTTGGTATTGAATTGATTCAATTTTATGTGAAGCTTATATTGACAAGACAATTTGGCAGGTTAACGAACCAACGCTTAAGTAGAAAGTAGTTAAGAGGTCATGAAAGGAACAAAATAAAGTTCACAGTGTGGACCATAGAACTACATTTATATAGTATAAGCTTATATATAATTAAATTATATGGAATTTATCAGGACCTAAAGGATCACAACATAGTAAGTCTTAAAGTCGTTTTGGTGTTTCACTTGTTCAGTGGCTTAAAGAAATTCTTACTGCCTTTACTTTAGCTTAGCACTATGCTTAACAAGTTGCAATAAAATGAAATAAAATTGTTTTGCCTACTTCAGTGGCTTCAGCCACGCTGCCATTTTAGCTGCAAACTCTTGCCGCAGTTGTCCTGAATTCTGCCACGGTCCTTGCACTTCGTCCTCCCCTTGCAATGCGCTTACATAGCCATTCTTTGTGAGTTTTGTTTGTACGAAACAGGATAATGGTCGTGCATGGCGTGCATTCGACTTGCCACTACAATCGTTCAACATGTCCGCATAGGCCTCCACGTACTCTGAATGCCGGCGTTGCACCGCAAAATTGTCCACAAAACCCGAGTTGCGTATGCCGCCATCCGCATCGACCGAAGCCTGCCTTACGACGCCTGCATTGAGGGGTCGCTGTGCCGCGTTGGTTAGGTTAATGTCTTTGGCGGCACTGTCATTTCGTTGGCAATTCAGCACCAGCTGGCTGCCGCTATCCGTGCTGCTGCAACGCGTTAGCAGCTGCGGTTGTGAGCTTGTTAAATTGTCTAAAATACTGCAACCGGATGTGTGCGACATACTCAATACTTGTCGCTTGTGCGCAGGGTTTCACACATTGATTTTATAGAATACTGTTGGTATAGTTTTCGGTGCTGACTTTTTATTGCATTATTTACGCTATAATATTTAATCAGTTTTCGTAGGTATAGCCTTTTAAAGCTTAGCGCGGTCCTTATTATTGATAGCCTTTAAATTTCGTTTCTTAAACACTTCGTGTTTCCTTCGATAAACATCACTTAAACTCAGTACACTACAATTCTTAAGGAAATCACACTATATTTAAAGAAAAAATTTATAAAATTCTTTAATTATTAATTGCCGCTCGAGAACGTTCAACTTGTGCCCATCAAAATGCACTGAACTAAGTTTGCCAGTCCAACTATGTTTACACTTGATGTTTTGCGCGTCTTCTTCGGCTGGCGATCGCATTGTTCTGCCCGCAACACACCCTGCCTACGGTCTTTGCTTAGCGTCGAGCGGCAAGACTTGGCTGTGCGGCGAATGCGCGTTAAAGGCGTAAGCACCTCATACAAGTAGAATGGGTGGCCGTGTGAACTGCTAAGCGTGCGCAAATGTGTGTGCATTGTTGGAATGGCAACGCGTATGAGTGTTAGTGACTTTGAATGGCTCGTAATGATGTGTCGAGAAATCTCAACACTGTGCTCTGGCTTTGTGGCAGTTGCTCAGCACCGCTTAGCCCCGGTTAAGTGCATGCAATGAAATGTTGCTGATGCTGTGCTTGACTGTGTGGACGATGATGATAATGAAGAGCATAAGAAGATAACGGCGATAGTGACATCCCAGAGGTATTACATATGTATGTAGATATAACCGTTGAGAGGAATTACGCGCTTTTTAGTTTTATTTCATAGAAACATCGACTAGCCTTTCATTACGCACAATTCAAAAACATTTCCAACTGCTGCGAACTGCTTAAGTGAATGACCGCCAATCAATGTCTTTTCTAGACTTTTTATTACGCAAGCAAGTTGTTATTCAAGTGAAACTATTTCTTAACAACATCTCTCACGAAAAGGCGTTTGCAATCCAAACGAAGTCCGTTTTGTTTTGATTTGACATAACGTCAGACATGGGTGTCTTAAGGCATGAAATAGCATGAATTAGATTTAAAATGTCAAGTTCAATTGATACTAAATATTAGTCAATTAACCAACTAAATAACATATTATAGGGTACACGAACGACACAAACTGAGTAATTTATGACAGTTGAGCATGATTGGGTGATTGGTTGGAATCAAAATATTGTAAATGTGCCAAGAAAAAAATTCGGAAACCTCATCATCGTTAAGAAAATAATTTTTATAACGACTTTTAATGATTGAAATTGAGAGAATATATATTAAGGAATTATTAATTTGTGAGATAACCTATTATCTTTTAACTCGAATTGTATATCTTTTTCGAAAATTACAGTTAATTAAGTAAAAATTATTAATAAAAATAATAAAAATAAAAAAATATAAATCACAGCAAAAATTAATCTTTTAGCTTCTTTTTGAGGTTATCAGAAGTTCTAGTCAATCAAATTCATAGCGGTATATATGCAGTAGTGACCCACAATGGGTATGCGTTGTCGTTTTGATGTCACAATACCAAAGATTGATGTAAACAGTCAGCGCTCCCACTCAATAGAAATGAACTGTGTCAGCTTAAGAGGACTACCAGTAAACAGTTACAAAGGGTGAGAAAGTAAGAGTTTCACTGTAACAAACAGTCCACGAGACAAAGCGTAATAAAATTTCATTATTCTCTTATTACACTTTATAGAATATAAAAAAAATTTTAGAAAACATGAATTTTATGAAAACAATTTTCTATTATTTAAAATTTTTGATATTGAGGAAGAAGTCCCAAAGTAGTTTTTATATATTAGAGATCACTAAAGTGTTAAAACGCCATTTTGAATGCTTGCTCCGACTCTGACTAAAATCCAAGTAAAATGAAACAAACTAACGGTAACAGCTACGTGGGGTCCTTTAACACTCAACTCTGAAAGTATTTCCTCACGCCGCCACTGGCTTTTAAGTGCAAAAGCATGACGTAGTTAACTGGTCATACATACCTACATATGTACTCGTTTTTATTGTCGACGCAAAAATGTGAACATAAAAAAAAAAATTGCTTTTATTACTCTTATTTGAGCAATTCACTTTCATGTTCGTTTAAGTGCAAACTTAAGTGTGTGTGTATGTGTAATATAAGTATAAACAGCTACTGTATCAATTACAACCAATAAATTCGCAACCAGTTACTAGTGAGTAGTACGCTTTTTTCTTAATTTATGAAGAACTCCTCCTTAGATACGAGCTTTACAAAGTTCTACTACTTTTCGCGAATTATTATTTTTCGAATTATTATTTTTTTTAAATAATATAAAGTAATGATAATAATGAATTGGCAGCTAGCTGGCAAACTAGTTTGTGACCAGTCCTAAACTTGGCACCTCGTGTTCTTACCGCTCATTACGGGATTTCCTGCGCTCGTGGAGCACAAGCGCACACACATTGCTCACACGAGAATGTACCGTAATTAAATTGATAGCATGGAATCGCGCTGTCTGTCAGTTGCATGTTTATTGACATTGTTGTTGTTTGTACTTACGCCATACACAATGTATGGCTGTGTGTACGTATGTATGTGGGTATGACTGAGTACCCTCTGCATTTTGTTGGCGCTTCGTTGCGCTATTAATTGAATTAACGACATGATGCTGGGCGGCTAGATGTGCGAAAACGACAACAACACAAACAAACACAGAGAATGCACTTTTGCATTTACGTTTGAATGAAGATGGACAAAGTGGTTGAAAGGCTGTGCCTCTTGCGCCTGTTGCTAGCGCAATAAGAAGCTAAAATATTGACTCTGTGGGTGAAATTGAGCGTTGTGACCTTTGTACTCGGCCGAAAGCTGCTTAATTTGAGCAGATTGCTGCGGTTTGCGTTAGTCGAAATATTCTTTCGGTAGGGATGAAATGAAGTTTAGGGAAAGTGATAGCTTTAAGCTCGATGATTTTTTATAAAAGTTCATTTCGAATATAAAATCGTTCGGTTGGGGAATCCACTGCTGCGCACATTAAATATATTTGACATTAGGGCTCGTGGAAGCTTTGTCATCTTTGACAGTTGAATTAAAGTGGTTGCAATTATTTTTAAGAATTAGTGATGACTCTTCGGAAATTTATCGTTTAATGAATCATTTGTTAGCTAACTTGTGGGAAAAGTTGGTTGTATTCTCTTCTCTACACTGTCTTTGAAAAGTTCTTTCATAATTACAGTTAAAAATTTCCCGTTGTGGTGATAGCGAAGCCAAAGAAACTTTTTTAACTGAAACATAGTTGTCACCTTTTGGGAAAATTATTAAAAAATTTATATGTAAACGAATTAACTCAAAAAATATTAATATCAAACTTAAGAAGCTAAAGAAAACTTATAATTGAAAGTACTTTTGAAAGGGAGAATTAAGAAAGATTTGTGTAAGATATATGTTTAAGAAGAGGTGCCATCTGTTTGAAATATTTCTTTCAGACAAATTGATAAAATAAACTATACCAATCTATATAAGTTCAGGGTAGCTAACAACTATAAATAGTTTTAGAAGAGTTGCCACCTGTTTGTATGTTAATTAACTCAATAAATAATAGATATTTAAGATTATCAAAAAATTTGTAGTTGGAAAATATTGCATTTAAACTTAAACGAAGTTGTGTCACTCTTTATTGAATTCAACTTTTGTAGCCACATACGGAAGTTTCACTTCTATTCAGTTCTCATTTACATTTTGCACAATTTTAGCAACGCTTTTATTAGTTGGACCAATGAAGTTTCAAAAGCCACTTTTCGCATTTGCATAAAAGTTCAGTGAAT